ACAGCCTCTGAAATCTGATCTTTTGTGTGCTTTTACCCCATCCTATACAGATTTCACAGGGAGACCAGCGTTTCTCAGATTGGGGTTGCTGATCTAAATTCCCTCTAAGCTGCATGGCACTGGGCGGCTGGAGGGAGAAAGGGCTGGGGGGAGTCCTCTCTCCCTGCAGCAACCCCAGGGCAGCCTGCACTGCAAACCCCTCATCCCCAGCCCCACCCTAGAGCCTGCACCGCAAACCCCTCATCCCCAGCCCCACCCTAGAGCCTGCACCCCCAGCAAGAGCCCGCACCCCCTGCACCCCAACCCTGTGCCCATCTGCCCTAGCTGTTTCCTGCACCCCAAACTCCTCATCCCTGGTGACCACCCCTCAGAGCCCGTGCGTCCCCTGCACTCCAACTCTCTGCCCTAGCCTGGAAACCTCTCCTGCACCCCAAACCTCTATTTCTGGCCCCACCCCAGAGCCCTCACTCCCCCCCCCCCGCATCCCAACTCTCTGACCCAGCCCTGAGACCCTTCCCACACTCCAAAGCCCTGAGCTCCACCCCTGCCACACATCACCTCTATATTAGTGCACATAACAAAATTCAGTCTGCACAGGGATGTACAAAATTAAAGAGAACATTGGTCCTGACCCAAAAAGGAGTTGTGGGGTGTGTCATGGTATAGCCATCCTTACTTCTGCACTGCTACTGGCGACAACTCTGCCTTCAGGTCTGGGCTCCTGGCCCCCCAGTTCTGAAGGCAGCATGGCTGCCAGCAGCAGCACAGAACTCAGGGTAGCAGTACCACAACCCCCCCTTACAATAACCTTGCAACCCCTCCCAACCACTTTTTGGGTCAGGACCCCTACGATTACAACACCGTGAAATTATTTTAAATAGATGAAATCATGAAACTTATGGGGTTTGTTTTTTTTTTAAAGCCTGTGACTGTGAAATTGACCAAAATGGACCATGGATTTGGTAGGGCCCTAGTTATTTCCCCCTGGAAATTTTCCTCCAGCTTCTGCTGTGTCCCAGGGGCTTTGATCTGAAGTGCAATCAGCTGCTGTGGGCTTATGCCCCTGTGTTGTACTTGTGGGTGCCTTCAAATCGTGAGCTTTTTTGTACAACTGGTGACACTATATGATGTTGCTAGCATTGTGTGGGTAGGCAGTCCATTCTTTTTCTCTCTCTCTTTCTCTCACACTGTATGGGTGAGCAGAGGCTGTCCGGAATGGAAGGGTGTAAGAAAATAATTGAGCATTAGGAAAGACTGAATTTCCAGGCGAAGGTAAAACTAAGTCAGCCACACAGTCCTCTGATTTGTGTTCGTGGTCACATGCTGTTGTAACAAAGCAATAGCAGCCAAACTGTGCTTGCAGATTAAAATCTGGGTTCTGTTGGTTGTATATTTATCATAGTGCTATGTGGATGCTTAATAGCACTGTACGCAGACTAACACCTGAGTACTGAGAGCTGTAGTTTGGAACTGAATAACGGAGACCTTCCCAGAACGATGGTAATCTCTTGCAGCAGGTGAACAGCCAAGAAGGCTTGGAATTAGCCTCAGCTGAATCTGAGGACTCTACATTGCAGTCTTCTGCAGCTAAGAAGATAAAAATAGAGATAAAAGAGAAGAAAGAGAAGAAGCAGAAAGTAGATGAAGATGAGATTCAGAAAATGCAGTGAGTACACCTTAAATTCCTAATTCATGTGATGCCAAGTTTGGTTACCGGACCTTGTCTAATTATGTTATGACAACTTGCTCCTCATCAGACTGAGTTTAGCTCACCCAGTTCACTGCACAGAGCTTGCTGCTGGAAATAACAAGTGCTATAGCATGTAATATGCACTGTCATGGCTTATTAAGCCAAACACTGGAACCTATTCTGTAACTGGTTGGTTTTTTTGATCTTTGCCTTGATAAAGGAAGATCTGAGTCCCAGTTTGTAAACCAGAACAGTTACTACTACTTTGCACCCACACCTGGGCATTAGCTAAGTAGGGCACAACCTACCCCCTCCTTTCAATGCTCTTCTTTATGCCTCATAAAATGTGTTCTAAAGTGGTACACTGTGCAAACAGACCCTACATGGATTTGGGGAACCTTTCAGATTGCTTTTTAAGGTGAAAAAAGTCTGTCTTCTGTCATAACTGATTTGTTTCCTCCTTCCTCCAGAATATTGGTTTCTTCCTTTTCTGAAGAACAGCTGAACCGCTATGAGATGTACCGCCGGTCTGCTTTCCCCAAGGCTGCTATTAAACGGGTAAGATTCTGCAAATCCTCAGTCCACAGAGGAACATATGAGGTGGAAGACACAGCTTGGCATTTATAAAAATAAGTGTACAGAGCATCATTGTAGTTTAGATCACAGTTTAAGTGCACAGATTTTCAACTACAGAAGAGGTATTAAGCAACCTTCACTCATGCTGATTTCAATAGGTGCGGCTCAGCATTTCTCATGCTTAGTTTAAGTGTTTTAAAAAAAAAAAAAACCCAAGTATTCAGCTGCAGGGAAATTTGTCACTTAATTTTATCTTCTTTTCTCTCAAGCTGGTCCAGTCCATTACTGGGACTTCTGTGTCTCAGAATGTGGTTATTGCCATGTCTGGGATTTCCAAAGTCTTTGCTGGGGAGGTGGTAGAAGAAGGTGAGTGCAAGACGAATATTTTAATAAGTGTGTGTGGGTGGTGGTGGGGGAGAAATACTCTACAAATATATTGTTTAAAGATTATTAAAGGAGCGAGGAAACCTTTTGAAGTGAGATGACATGGTGGTTTCAAGGTACCGAACAACTTAAAGAAATGAAGACAGTTTTTACAGCAGTCTTCCTATTATGAAATGGGTGTCTTCAGGCGCAAAAATAGATGCCTCACGAACCCTGATTCTGCTATCAGCAAGGAATTCAGCACAAGGGAGGTGACATTTAACTAGCATAAATCCATTCTTCTGAAACTTCGTCTCCATTGATTGATGAGCTGAGATTACTATATGAAACACTACATTGAAGGGTGAGCTACTGAAGTAGCTGTTTGGAAATGTTTACAGTACATCTGAAGGGGAGACAGTAGTCTGTTGATTCAAGCCACCCAATCTTTACAGACTTGTTATTAAAATACTTGGCCTTTACCTGTAGAGGTGGTATTTTGCTGGAATGATGAACCCTGTTTGTGGCTGTTTCTGCAGATTACTTCTGTTGCATGAGGGAATTTGGATAAAAGCAATCTTGTATCTTTGAGATGAGCCTGTGTATGTGGCAATTGGAGTGGGATGGATGCAGTGATCCAATAGGTCCTTTCCATCTCTACCATATATGCTCATCTCCTGTCTCATGTATTAGTCCCTATACATGTGCTCCTCAAGTTAATCAACCCATGAATATTTTAACAGGTCAAAGTAGAAAGGGGCATTGGCAAGTTGTTGGATGTTCTAAGAAATTAACTTAAGTAACCTCAGCTGTTCAATAAAAGGTAATTTTACCAGTTAGGGTGTGTTTATAGTCTCCTTCCCTGAGTGTGGACAATGAGACCCAGATAAGTCAGTTTCACTCTGATTCTTACATATTGGTAAAATGCTCCTCAGTTGGCATTATAGACACTGCAAGGAAACGAATTCTAGCTTTTTTTTGTGGATGTAAAGTTGATGAAAATGTTTATGAATAGTATAACCTACTTAGTTAAAGCTGAAATGTTAGCTTTTACTATCTGAAAGCCTCTTTGAGACACTTAACTGTGACATCAGTCTGATAACATTCACTGTTTTTTGGTTTGTTTAGCACTGGATGTGTGTGAGAAGTGGGGAGAATTACCACCTCTTCAGCCCAAACACATGCGTGAGGCAGTCCGGCGGCTGAAGTCACGGGGGCAGATCCCCAATTCAAAGTATAAAAAAATCACCTTCCATTGAAGTGAAAACTAGAGAGCAGTTTAAGAAGCAGGAGACCCTGGAGAAGCTGGAAGAGAATAGACTACTAGATATAAACCATATCACCTCAGAGCTGCTTAAGCAGAAAGCTTCCAAACCTTCTGCACTTCTAGTGTCCGCAGTATTAACTAATGCGCCAGTACTAAAGCAACCTAAAAGAGAAGTTTCTTAAAACACAACTGAACTGAGTGCATGTGGCCAGTTTCTCGGACTATGAAATGCTTCCGTATACAACTTCTCCACGATTTGTGGTAGACAGATATGAAAAATTACTGTTGTGGTTAAAGTTCAGAATAACTTTGAAACAGCAGTGCAAATAGCAGCCTTGTTCACTTAAGTTTGTATTTTAGTACTAAACTCCTGGAAGGAAAGGCCTCTATATTGTATCATGTCCATAGGAGTCCTTATTTCAACATGCACTAGCAAACCTCATCAAGTGACTGCTTAAGTTTGGTTCTCTATTTAAACACTTCCTAAGCAACTTGCAATAAAAGGTGCCGGTGGTAGAGAGGGGCAATAACTGAACCGGAAATGTTGTCCGGGCCATCAGACTTTATATGACTATATGAAACAGAGCTAAACACTTCAACAGAAAGGATAAAAGCCTTTAATGCAATCGGCTTTTTACTTACAGAGAGGGGTGGGGGGGAGTGAGGGCTACTGCTATAACAGGTATATCTATAGTCTGTATAGAAAGGGGGATTTGATACAATGAACACTTATTAAACTTGCTGTTCAAGTAAATAGCTTGTGACCTGGATTTGAGTAGTCCCTTCCATTCTCATTGACAGGGCAGATGAAATGTCACTGATTGTATGACTTAGCATCCATCCCAGTTTATCTGTTAATCCTTAAGTAACATTGAGGGGGCTGTAGGGTTTTAATCTGTCTCTGGATCCGTGCCTTCACTATATTCCATAAGCAGTTAAAGGAGTGCTGAAACAATGCCCTACCAGTGGTATCTTATACTGTGTGGTGATAGTCGCCCACCCTCCCACAGCCTTTAGCCTTGTGCTATTCAGCCACGTTCTGCACTTACTGGAGGACTTAAGAAAACCAGCTTTAGAGAAAGCAGACATCCGACACAGTGGAGGTTAAGTTTAGTGGGTTTTTTTTTTTTAAAGGTGGTTCACAGAACCAAAAAAATGCACTCATGGAAATGTCAAACTGCAACATAAAATTCCAATACTGACTAGGTCTTAAATTCAAGTCAGACTTCTATCTTGTTTATAAGCAGATAAGAGTGGTGCCCTCAAACTAACAAGAGCTACTGCACTCCACACTCATTTCTAATGTAATACTGCAGTTATAAGAATTAATTTAGCTCATTTAATAGAACATACAACAGTAGAGCAAAGTCTTCAAAAATCAACCTTCCCATAACACTTAAAACAAAGTAATATTTTATCAACCTCACTATCTTTCCCCCGTTCCAGCTGCTCCCTTCAGTCCTCAACAGTGCGGAAGCTTTTATACAACAGGGAGCCCAGTGAGGCTCTGATAAGTAGGGTCCCAGTATTGTACCAGAATACAAATAAAGAGAAGCACCCAGTTTTTTCCTGAACCTAGCCCTATACTGACTGATGCAAGCCCCTGTGGTCACACTATGGGAAACTAAGTTCCAGCTCTGTTTAGGCTGCAGTGGCGGATGAGAAAGGGAAGTAGCTTCATGCCACTGCAGCTAAATAACAGTGCTGTGCAAAGCCTTCCCCTATCACAAACTGCTAAAAGACTCTGAACATCTTAAAGAAAAAAAAAGGGGGGGGCGAGGGGGGGAAGTGATTTTCAAGCACACTGTGATTAAAGCAGTGGGATCAGCATCCCCTCCCTCACAATAGCACTTGCAGCAGTACCCTTACTTCAACAGGAAGAGATGGAGTGTGCATATAAGCACAGAAGTTGGACTAAAGAATGTTAACCTCCATTTATATGAAAGTGACCAACAACTTCACCTTTGCAACAAAAGCTTGGACTTTACACACTCGCTTCACAACATTAGATGTCTTTTACACCTACAATTAGCTGTTGTACATTAGTTTCACAGCAAGTCTGGTTACAGATAAATGGATGCACTACAGCATTAGTGCCGGTCTTACGAGAAAACTGTTCAGCTTAGTGACAGGGTGATCCTCACCACAGGAGATAATTCTTGCATTTCTAAAACCCCCTTTTCTTTATTTTAAAATTATTCTGTGCATACAAAGGGCAAAGGTGGTGGAGAAATACCCAGTTGGTCTATCCCCATACGACTGCTCAAAGTTAAAGTGCAGTCTTCTGGTAACAGATTCTCTGCCCATCGGATCAAACAAGGGCTGCTACATTTGAGGATTTTTCAGCATAGGTAGTAATGCACATATAACCTATCACAGGAGCTGTTCTGAAGAGGCGTAGGACAGGAAAGATGCTTTTGCGGAAAAGCAGTAATATTCTCCTACAGAGAGATGGTGGACTATGCCCCCCTCTTCCAGGGACAGAAATGAATGTATGAAAACGACAGCAGCCAAACAAGATATAATACACAGTAGCCACCACAGCTGACTTAGATGAGGAAAGACTGTACCACAACTGCAAAGCCTTCTGGAGTTCCGGTACCCTACGTTTGCCTCAGGCTAATGCTCAGCTCAGATTGTTTGTTTAAAACAGAATTTTCCCTTCAGAAGCAAAATAATTTCTAATTGCCAGCTCTCAGAGCACGCAGTGAAGGTCAGGCTCTTGCGGCTGTTGCCATACCTGTTTTTAGGCATTGGGCAGTTGGACCTTGACAGACAAGCAGAGATAGTGTCCTCCATCTTACAGCAGTAAGTCAGTGCTGTCTTGGCCCGCAGGCTACTGTCTTTTCAATGGTACTGGTCAAAGACTACAGTGTGCCATTCAGTTCCATCTTCTGCCTAATTTAGTCAAAAGATTTTGAATTTAAAATTATCCCAAGAACAGCAGCTGTCTGTGTTGGGTTCTGGCATCCTGTTCATCTCCTCTCCTTTCTTCCACACCCTGACTTTGGAGTGACATCTGCATGAAATTCATGGTTGGCTCTTTCCAAGCCATTGTTTTTTACCCTCTCCAAATCTAAACCATCAAATGAGCAAATAAAAACATGCATCCTTCCTCCCTACAGCTGAAGGGCTTAAACTACAAATTCCCTATTAAAGAGAAACACCTGATAGGTCCAGGATTGAGCAAAGGAACAAATATGCAGGGAAAAAAGGTTACATTAAAAGTCATTTTCTTCCTTCTGATCACCCCCCAGACCTTAATTCATCAAGATGGGTGGGGATCATCTGTTTGTTCTACAGGCACTAGAAAAAGTGTTGTATGGATTACAAATCGTGCATTAATACAAATATAAAATACATCTGGAGAAATCCAATCCATAAAAAGTTTGAAATGCATTAAAATCCAAGAGACTCAGAATAAAGTGCAGTGGGTGGGTAGTCTCCGTTCTGACACGTGTATGGTTCTGTCTTAAATTGTGCCGCTTACTCTTCCATCCAGCACTTTCTTCTATCACACTCTCTCGCTCTGCTGGATTCTATCATGTTCTGTTTATTCCCTAGTTAGTTAAGAAGGACACACATGTATTTGCTTCCTCACCCAGTGCCAAGACTGTGCACTAGCTCAGCCAAGTAAAGTGAAGAAATAGCAAACTTATCAGCCTTTAGAAGAGCAATTGATTCCTGCAACATTGTAAAGGGCCTTTTCATCAATAACTTCTTTTCATGAACTCCCACGTCACCTTCTATTAGGTTTTCTTACCTGCAAAAGCCATTTAATTTTAAATGAAGAAAGTCACACTGTGGCTTTGGCCACTTCACCTTCATCACGGAAGCATCCTGGAGAAGGTGAGCACTTAGCATCTTCCAAGAGTGAACATTACCCAGCTGCTGTTTTCACTGCCTTCAGAGAACTAGCGGAAAGCAGCCAAGGTAGCCAGAAGCCACTCAGGAAAAGTCTGAGTGTCAGCACCCTGATGAAACATACACCATCAGCCCCTAGCGGAACTTCCACATCACTTGATTCATCTCTAGCTCAAAATACATGACTAGGTTGGAATATGCGTGGTTGTTGTTGTCAGTGCTTTTCCTCCCATATCAGTCTGTGAACCCCTGGCAGATATGTCTGAGTGTAGTACACTTCACAAAGGGAGATTACAGGCCTTCTTCCTCTCCTACCTCTTAGCCTATAAACTCTGCACTCAGCCTGAGTCAGTTCAAGAAGCGGGGGTCAGTTCAAGAAGCGGTTAAATCATCTTTCGTTAGGAGAGGCTGGATTTCTCCCTCTTTAGCACGGAGAACACTAAGCTGAACTCAGCCCGTGGTTTCAGCTAATGAGCGAGGGTCATTTTTCAAACTGGCAGCCTTCACACAAGGCTAAAGGCAATAGCCAGAGTATATGGACACAGCGTGAGAGGTGGGGTTCAGGGACAGCAGGTGTGAACAGGGTGCCTTCCTAAATCTAGTATCACATGGCTTCGTTCTGTCCTGGGACTGCAAACTGTTGGGTCTCTTCTAGTCCCCTTTTCCACTTTGTACTTCACTAGACAGGCTGCGGGCGGGACATCTGCAAGTCATGTTCCCTCTCCCTTATGGGGAGAAGTTATTTCCATATCTCTCACAGCCAATCACCCCGGCATTTCCATCCCATCTTCTTCCACATCATACACACTCACTAAAAAACAAACTTCTTCTGCCCTGTTTGACTATGCCTTAACTGGACAAGTTGACATTATTGCTTTTGCCTGTGCTCTTTGGTGAGTGTGTTTGGGCAAGAACACCCAGGAAGATAGCAAAGGAAGTACAGACACCCACACCACCCACCCTGTAAACCAACATGAACAAGGAAGCAGATGCAACGGTGGTGTGACAGCAGGCCAGCAACACCATTGTAAGATGACTAGACAGGGGTGCCTGGCTCTTGACTACTGTTCTGCATTTTGTGCTTGCAGACTAAGCACTGCAGTGGTTCAGTGATATAGAGTGTAGCACCGTACTGCCAGGACAGAGGGAAATGGCTGCAAAACCAGAACCAGATGGCTCCTTGTTGCTCATTTCCCTTCACCCAGCCAGGGCCTCCTCCCTTTCTACCCCACTTAGAGTTCATCCTGCAATTGCAATTAGGTTTCCATTCCCCAAGGCGATTCCTCTCTGCTGATGTTGGCCTCTCAGCAGCAGTTTAACAAACTAGCCGCCGGGATGCTGGTGGTGATCTCTGCTCCTCCTGAGCAGCTGCAGCCTTGGGCCTCTGCTGTCAAAGCTGGAAGAGGGGATCGTATTTCCTAATTTCCTGCAGAAGGCGCCCTATGTCCAGATTGGCTTCTGCTAGGGCAATTTTCATGGCGTGCAGCTCCTTCTGCAATGCTGGGGCTTCCTTTAGCTACAAAAGAGGAGGAGAGAGAGAAGATTTTGCAAAAGGTAAAAAGCAAAACAGACCAGACTGATGATTTCTCGCAGTACTGTCAAATTGGAATATGAAACCAGGAGCTTGGAGACGGCCTGCAGCTACATGCCAGAGAGCAAACAAAGCCTACTGACATACTGATTCCATTTGGCTTTCTTGCAGGAGTAGCTGCTGACAGATGCACTTCCAACTGTTTCCTAGAATACCTTTTCTAACCATTATTATATTCAGCCTGCACAGTCATCAGTGGCAGTCTAATGGTCACCGATCTCCATGGATTCCCACCCCACTTCTAGACATGTGAACAGACTTGCAGCAGGAAGGGATTTTCCTGCACAACAATGTGCATCACCCAACTATATTTGCAGGGAAAGCAGAGGGACAAATATTGGGCTCCATTCTGCACCCTTACATATGTGAATTATCCTTATCCTCATAAGCAGGCATACTAAAGTTAACAGGACTCCTCATGTGAGGACACCAGGAACCTCTCCTTAATTCAGTCACATCTGTTTCTACCTCCTTGACTGAAGCTACCTATTATACATATAGCCCTCAGAATCCCTTGCACGGCTTCACAGCATATGGCAAGGCTAATGTCAACAATGTCTTGGACAATCATGTTTATTTATGGGTCTTCCTTGAACTGTGTTATTCTTTCATTCAGAATTTAGGCCTCAATCCTGCTCCCACTGACTTCAGCAGGATCAGGAAATTAATTACTATTATTGTATTACTGTAGCACCTAGGGGTTCCAGTTGTGATCACCAATCCATTATGCTACGTGCTACACACCCACACCCACACACAAAATCAGAGGCAGTCCCTGCCCCGAACAGATTACAACCTAACTAGATAAGGCAAAGAGTGGGAAGGGAAATAGAGGCACAGAGTGGAGAACTGACTTGCCCAAGGTCACTCAGCAGGCCAATGGCAGAGCCAGGTCTCCTGAATCCCAGTTCAGCACCTCATCCACAAGACCACATTGCTTCCTTCAGCACATTTTTCAATAGCCAATTATCAGATTATCTAGTGATGCCTGTGTAAAGGAAGGGCAATAAAAAGTGGAGGTTGTTTTTGCTTGTTTGCGATACACAATTATTTGGGTTCCAGATGTTTGGATCAAATAAAATGGAAGATCATATTAAACAGTGAGAGAATTAAGCAGAAGGCTCCATGTTACCTGGAAAGTCTCATGTCTGAAGGACTCATTCTGTGGTTGCTTACGACCTACTTTCTAAAAGTCCCCGCATCTGAAAGAACATCTTCCATTCAGGGATTGGACAGGTGGCCGAAAGATGAATCCCCTCAGAAAACAAGGTTCGTGAAAGTGATCAGGAGAGTTTGCTGCAGGGTGATGAAGGTATTGCTCTTGATTCTGGGTTGAGTGTGAAAGGTGGGATGGGAACTGAATCCTGATTACTCTCACAAGAGAACATTAGTGCTTCCTGTCTATAAACACCCTTGATAAGGAAAGAGACATGCACGTATAGGCCTTACATTTCCCAACCCTGTATTTTCTCGTCTGCAGCCAGCTGTCTGGGACACAAGCTATTGTCTATTTGTCTGGAAGGAAACATGCAGAAATGGCTTACCTGTTGTTCATGTACTGCTCCTGCTGGAACTGCCAAGAGTCTCTTTACTGGGACCTTCTTTTCCTTCAGACCTTGCTCAGGCTTTTTCTGTAAAGATAGTCCCTCCTTTTGTGCAGCTTGAAAGGAACACAGAAATACTCATATGTTCACTTATACCATGAAGTACTTTTCATAAAAGGGTCTCCAAGTGCTGTACAGACATAAGTATTATCCCCTTTTTAAAGATGCCTGTACTGATTCACAAAAAGAAGCTACTTGGTCAGTCTTCACAAGTCAGTGACAATAACAACCAGAACCAAGAAACTTCCAGTCCCATTTTAACAATTACACCAATGCTGCCTCGAGCTTCTAATTTATAATCTCCAGCAAAAGTTTGTGAACAAGCAAGAAGCTACACCAGTAGGTGTGGATGCATATGAGAATATTGGAGTATTGTAGGAGAGGGGTGCTTGGACATAACAGGGGACATAATATTCTTAGCCTGTTCCAGCAGAAGTGGTTGCAGAGAATAAGGGAACACTGGATGCTGATCAGATACTCCAGCTCTAGCCTCACACAGCAGAGGCAGATTTCAGTTCCAGTCTCTACCAGCAGGAATCACTGCAGAGTGTTCTAGTCTCCAGTAATGGTGGTGAAGGAAGGAGAATCAAGGCTTCTCTACTTTACTGACCTGTTACTGAGAACACTCCATCATCGCTGCGCATCACAACAATATGATCCACCACCAAGGTTATGGGGATGGTGCCAGGAGAGGTAGGGTACACCCGAGGGCTGTCATCCTGCAAAACAAACAACAATTATCAGCTGCCATGTACAACTCTGAAATAGGGCAATGCAGCAAAGGATTTCCTCGCAAGCCCTCACAGTAGCCATGTTACTGCTTCTGGCATTTCCAGATCCCATCCAGGGCTGACCATTAAACGGAAGAGAATGCCTTTGCACAAGGGCTTCATGTAACCCTTAGTTATCTTTGCAGAAAGCCTTCCGGGTGGCAAAACGGAATTCAGTCACAGCCCTGAAGACAACCTGGGTCAGTCTCTCACCACAAACCCCCTGAAGGCCACATCTCATAGTTACTATCTTGCATGTCCCAGATTCAAACCTCCATCAAAATTCATCAATATTGGCCCTTAATAATCTGCAGATGTCCCTGCTGCTTCATAGTAAGCCTAGCCCATGCTTGTCTGAGAAGAGACAAACCAAAGGAAGGGGCATGTAATGGTCGTACGGAGTATGACGAAGACACGTGGCTGGTTACAGGTGGGTTATCAGACATCTCTCTGCACCAGGTGCCCTCTCTCACTGAGTAAGTGGCAAGAATACTACCACCACCCAGTTCTTGTACAACTCTTTCCTTCTGAAGATCTCTAAGGGCTTCACAAAGAAGGGGTCAGTATCATTGTCCCCATTTTACAGGTGCAGATGAGAAGAGTGGCACAAAGGGGTCAAGCGAGTTTCCTGACATGCAAAGCACGTCGCTGGCAAAACTGGGAAGAGAACCCAGGAGTTTCAGACTCCCAGTCACATGCCCTGTGGTCAAACCGTTACACTACGATTCCAAGGAGCTACCTGTTCACCATTAAGGTCATTGTAAAAGAGGCAGAGGAAAGGGTAGAGAACCATTCTGCACACTTTATTAAGGAAATGGCACCTCTCCAGACAGCCACAGTTCTCTTTCACTGGTAGAACCTTACCCACAGCTGAGCCCTGAACACCCCCTTTTCCCTGCCAATGCACACACAAACACACCTTCAGTGTAATCTTGGCATCCACCATTTCTATCTTCATGGGAATCACCTCAGGTACCACTTCGTCCTCGAGGAAGGGTCCGAGGTTGGTGAGGGAGGACATCAGGAGCTCTGCACAAGAGCTGTGGATCAGGATGTGAAGGAACCCATTCTGGACAGCCAGAGGTGAGTGCACAATGGCGCTCGGTCCTATTTCAAGTCGTAAGCACACTTCTGGCTGGGTCTGATTAGCTTCTGTGGCTAAGAGCTTCTCTACGCTTGGATCCCCTAGAGGCACAGAAGAAAATCATAGCGGTGGAGGACTGGATGGTATCGGCCATAGGCTATAGGCCTTTAGGAGACATGCAGCCTACAAAGCCTTTCATTGCTCAGGCACTGGATGAAATCCAGTCCATGATAGTAGTGATCAGGAGTCCTGACTGGTGTTCAGTACAGATGTGAAATGAGTTTGAGTCCAATTTTCAAATGGACAAGTGTCCACATCACAGAATCCACCAACACAATTGGCCACCTCAGTGGCAGTCACGTGAGCCCCCAAATTCACCCCTCTGCTATGTCAGCTCCAGACCATTTCAGTGTTCTTGAGGACTCCACAGCACCTAAAATCTTACATGTATCAGGCAAAACTCCACTCTCTAATTAGGGACGTTTTCTACAAGACAGGAGGCTTTTGCATTCCAATTGAATGCTATGTAATTCTGTGACTTTATTATGCCCCCTAATGGCAAAAGGATGTATCGCTATCAAGGGGTATCACTAACACAGTAATTGCTACTCTTTCTTTCTTTCTTTCTTTCTAAAGATTTCTAAGCTTGAACTCAGTGCTGGTGAAACACCCCAGATTAAACACACACTGAGTCTGAAGATGTCTGTTTATCCACAGCACAGATAACAGCATCAGGAGCAGCAGTGCAAACTTCCCCACATAGCTTCTGTAAGCATTATTAATTATATGCATTACTGTAGCATCTAGGAACTCCAGTCAAGAGTCAGGTCCCAATTGCAGTAGGCACTGTAGAGACAAAGTCCCTACTCCAGAGAGCTTTTAGCCCAAGAGGTCACTATCTGACCTAGATGGAGCCACCTTTAGGCATGATGGAGAAGTTCAGTCTCCAAGGCCAATTCGATCCTTGGTTTCTCAGCTGAGGTTACCAACAAGGGGCCCCACTAGTGTTATAAAGCTGGAAGGGACCACAGCAATCATCTAGTCTGACCTGCATAACATAGGCCATAGGACTGCCTTGCATCGATTCCTGTTTGAACTAGAGCATGTCTTTTAGAAAAGCACCTCATCTTGATTTAAAACTTGCAAGTGCAGGAGAATCCACCACGACCCTTGGTAAATTGTTCCAATGATTAATTACACTCACTGTTAAAAATTTGCACCTTCTTTTAGTCTGAATTTGTGCCAAGTTAAATACCATACAAAAGTCCAAGTGTAGTACATCAACACTATCACCATTATCAACCAAACTTGTAATCTCATAAAAAAAAGATACCAGGTTAGTTTCACAAGATCTATTTTCCATAAAGCCATATTGATTGGCATTAATTACATTACTATACTTTAATTCTTTCTTCATCAAGCCCTTTACCATCCACTCCATTATTTTGCCCAGGATCAATGGCTGACCTGTAATTACCCAGGTCAACCTGTTTACTCTTTTTAAATATTGGCAAAACATTAGATTTCTTTTAGTTCTCTGAAACTTCCCCAATGTTGGAAGACTTATTTAAAAAAATCAGCATTATAGTCCAGTGAGTTCCACTGCCAGTTCTTTTAAAACTCTTGGATGCAAGTTATTTGAACCTGATGATTTTAAAATGTCTAGCTTTAATAACTGCTGTTTAAATATCCTCCTTAGTAACTGGTGGAATGGACAGTATTTCATCATCATATGGTGTAACTATATCATCTGTCTTTTTCCCAACTATAGAAAATACATTTATTGAATATTTTTTCCTTTTATGCATTATTATTGACAATTTTTCCATATAGGAATGGACCAATAGCATTGTTAGGATTCTTTCTATTCCTAATATACTTGAAAAAGTCCTTATTGTCCTTAGCTCTGCTAGCTGTAGATTTCTTCTTGTGTCATTTTCCTTCCCTTATCAATTTTCTACAGTTCCTAGCTTCTGCTTTCTATTCATATATACATCTCCCCAATATATTTTATAGCTGCTTTCATTTCTCCTCTAAACCAGGTTGTTTTTTCAACCAATCTAGCCATCCCTGAGAGTGGAATTGTGACTTTTGCAGCATGTAGTGAAATGTTCTTAAAGACTTCCCAATTATCATTCACATATTTCTGTTTAAACTCTTTCTCCCAACTGATTTGTCTTATAATTGTTCTCAACATTGTGGAATTGGCTCTTTTAAAGCACAAGTATCTATCTATCACTGATTTAGACTTTATTCTGTTTGGACATAAAAGCGTAATCAACTGTGGTGGAGGAAGCATGATTTGGCCACCTGTCCACTGGGAACTGAGATTGGATTGAGAGCCACCAAAACAGCCATGGAAACAACTTTTGGACACTGGATTTGAACCACTGAGACAGAGGCTCTCAATATTGTTAACATTTCACATACATTGGTACTGCACATGAACACTGAAAACAATATTTATAGTTCATGGCTCCCTAATAACAGCCAGTGACTGACGCTCTGGTTTCAAAGCCAGCAGATCCAAAGGCCAGCATCTTACCCACACAGCTGCTTTGTAGATACTGCCACATTCCAATATTGCCCAACTGCTCTACAGTAACCTCCATAACTTGTACAGCAAGTGATAGATCATCGCCTCTTGCCTCTATCCCGCAGTTCACCTCATTCATTTTCAGCACCAGAACAGAGACCTGAAACGGCAAGTCACAGTACCACTTGTCAAAATAGCTACATTGCCCCCTTTGCAAGCTTCCTTTAAAGAAAGATTTTACGGAGAAGGAGGAAAGAAATCTGACCAGCTGAAGGCTAGGGTCTTCTCCACTCTGAGAAGCTGAGCTGTTCATGTCAGGCGTCCCTCTATCCTTATCTTCTGCCATTGGGCTCGCTCTGCTGCCTGCATCATGAAGGTCCTGAAGAAGTTGTCCCGGGGTGAGGGAATCCAGGGTAGGCTCTGAAAACAGATTACGAATACTCAGATACAGTTCCACTTTGCCACCTTCCTGAAAACCATCAAAATCATCTTGGATTGATTTAATTTAAAGATAGGGAGCTCAAATGACACATTTATTGTAATCCCCAACACCACACTTTGCCCTTCTGCAGCACCTTTACAAATATTCCACCTACCTATGTACTTCTATAGCACTAATCACCGTAATATCCAAGTGCCTTAGAATTCTAACATGAATACAAAAGGATCACGCTGCTGTCCTTCTCGCCACCACATCCCCTTCTGAAACCCAGGAGGGCTGTCTCTTTTTGTTATATTTAAGTGTATTTATTTGGGGGAATGGTAGGCTGAAGAAGTGGGTTCTGAACATTGTGTTCTGCAGGTCCAGAGATTCATGGTCATTGTGATTCTTCCCAAGAGTGATATGTATAGTCACAGACCAGCTGCCCAGGGGCTGCCTCTTACAATCAATCTCAAAGTTGGCACTCCCATTGTTCCAGAGGAACATACCCATTACAAGAAATTATGACCATGCAGAGTGAGGCACTCATGTAGTGTGGGCCCAGCCATGAAGGGCTTTGAAGAGAAGGACATTATATATATATCTTGATTTTAGTAAAGCTTTTGATACTGTCTTGCATAACCTTCTCATAAATAAACTAGGGAAATACTACTTAGATAGAGCTACTATAAGGTGGGTGCAAACCTGGTTGGAAAACCATTCCCAGAGAATAGTTATCAGTGGTTCGCAGTCATGCTGGAAGGGCATAACGAGTAGGGTCCCGCAGGAATCGGTTCTGGGTCCGGTTCTGTTCAATATCTTCATCAATGAATTAGAGGATGGCATAGAGAGTACACTTATAAAGTTTGTGGACGATACCAAGCTGGGAGGGGTTGCAAGTGCTTTAGGATTAAAATTCAAAATGATCTGGACAAACTGGAGAAATGGTCTGAAGTAAATAGAATTAAATTCAATAAGGACAAATGCAAAGTCCTCTACTTAGGAATGAACAACCATTGGACACATACAAAATGGGCAATTGCCTAGGAAGGAGTACTGCGGAAAGGGACCTGGGGATCATAGTGGACCACAAGCTAAATATGAGTCAACAGTGTAACCCTGTTGCAAAAAAAGCAAACATCATTCTGGGATGTATTAGCAGGAGTGTTGTAAGCAAGACATGAGAAGTAATTCTTCTGCTCTACTCGGCGCTGATTAGGCCTCAACTGGAGACTTGTGTCCAGTTCTGGGAGAGACATTTCAGGAACGATGTGGACAAATTGGAGAAAGTCCAGAGAAGAGCAACAAAAATGATTAAAGGTCTAGAAAACATGACCTATGAGGGAAGATTGAAAAAATTGGGTTTGCTTAGTCTGGAGAAGAGAAGACTGAGAGGGGACATGATAACAGTTTTCAAGTACAAAAAAGGTTGTTAAAAGGAGGAGGGAGAAGAATTGTTCTTCTTAACCTCCGAGGATAGGACAAGAAGCAATGGGCTTAAATTGCAGCAAGGGAGGTTTAGGTTGGACATTAGGAAAAACTTCCTAACTGTCAGGTTGATTAAGCACTGGAATAAATTGCCTAGGGAGGTTGTGGAATCTCCATCATTCAAGATTTTTAAGAGCAGCTTAGACAAACACCTGTCAGAAATGGTCTAGATAATACTTAGTCCTGCTATGAGTGCAGAAGACTGGACGAGATGCCCTCTCGAGGTCCCTTCTAGTCCTATGATTAATTAATCAAGTCTCTTAACTTCCCTGTGAGGTAGGTAACTATCCCTCCCATTTTACAGATGAGGAAACAGAGGAAGTGACTAGTCCATAGTCATGCAACAAGACTGTGGCAGAGCTGGGAATAGAATCCAAATCACCAAAGTCCCAGTTCCATGTTTTAACCCCTCTCTAGAATTAACTCCACATTTTGAGTGTGCCAGTGACCATATCATACAGATACCAGTAAGGTTCTCTTAGCCTGCACTTGCCCTACAGCTTCTTTCATGGAGAAGGCATCTCAAAAAGCAGTATCGGAGAGATTCACACTGGGTGAACTGCCCAGGAGCGAGTGACCGACAGGATCAGTTAGAGACAGACATAGTGGGATCCCTAGTATAAATCACTCCATTAGCTACATCAGAGATCAATTTAGCTGTGTGAACTAAAAATGGAAGAAAGCATACAGGCAGTTCTAGTTACCAGGGTCCATGAGCATCACGAAGCCATCACTGCTATCACTGTCCACAGACAGCCTGTCCTCAGGGCAGTTTCCGTCTTGGGAGGTGGCATCAAAGGAATGCTGGGATGCAGTCCTCTTCATGGAGAAGAAATGCATTCGGCGGCTGCTGCCGCCCACAGGGGTTGCTGCCCCCTCTTCAGCTTTAGTCACAGGCTCCCTACCAAAAACCCACAGAAACAGATAGCTTAGCCTCCAGGCACTAAATTAATTATCACAGTTACACTATTTCTATATTAAACAATACAATGTTATCAGCACAGCTTGTGGCTTCATTTAGAATGGTCAGGGATGGAATGGTGGGCAAAGCGGAGTGAAACAGAAAATTTAATCCTATTTATCCACAGCAGAGACAGTGACAGTGCAAGCTTCCTGCAATGCCCCATCCAGGCATCTCAGTCCTCTCCCGGAGGGGCCACCTCTGCAGGAGAGAGAAAACTCTTCAGTTCGTGCCTTCTCTGCTGTATCTACCAGCATGGGGACCTGTTATATTTAACCTAATAGTGGCTTGTGTGGACACCTGTCTACAGGGACTCAGACTGAGATCTACCCAGACATTTCACCAAGGCCACTCAACAGCCATCAGGTAACTAGGATTGAACTAGCAACCTGGAGATGAAAGGCTCCAAGTCGCATTACCAACTCGCTGCACTATCCCAGCCACCCTAGTCCCCAGCTCTCTGTATTACCTCGTGAAGAACAATTAGCACGGGACCAGCTGTAGACACCAACTCACTAAGAACTGAACTGGGAATCACCAACACATCCCAAAGGCAGTTAAACACCTGTTGGTTGGTCAGAATTTTAGGTCATGGCCAACCTGGGCTGCACTGCACTGATAACAAAGAAGTGAAAGGTTCCTGTATCCCTTGAGCCATCCAGTCCTCAGCAGTCCTTACCCACTGACGAGTCTTAACTTCCTGCACCTCCTTCATATGGGGGACAGAGAGAAAGTCACAGGAATAGTGAGAAGGGAGAAGTGGGCTTACCCTTTCAGGAGGGGATGGTTAGGAGTCTAACCATACAACACCTGATACATGTTAGTCACATCATTTATTGCACTACTAGAAGATGCTCAGATACTACCATGATAAGCGCAGTATAAGAACCTACAATGAATAGAACAAATATTGGATTTACCTACACTACCTGGAAGCATAGATTCAAATTTTTGCAGTAGCATCTACAATATACGACACAGTTAACTATGCACCAGTGTTTCAGATGAGACCTTAAGAACCAGGGTCCTGCCTTCTCTTAAACATTAGAATCATGAGATCTTTAAAAAAAGAATAGGGATTTGCCCAGGCATCCTTGACCAAAATTCCTTCCTACTATTGCACAGCAAACTGCCTGCTGCCCTCCACCCCAGAAGTGGCTACGTTACAGCAATGAAAGGTGCTAGAGACTATGGGAAGTATAGGATCTTGGATCCAAGCCACAAGCAAGAGGAAGGAAGCAGTCAGCCAACATTTTGCCCCCTTCCCAGAAAGTGAATGGCCTATAGTTTTCAAGTGTAGAGTCAGAGGGAAAGATGGACTTCTAAAGGGGAGAGGAAACGTGGATGTGTCACTGTTAAACTCCACCCCCACCTCAGCTTTGCTGTTGCTGTTCAGAAGGGTGAGAGGAGAAATCACTCACTTGGTTGGGGGTAGAGAGAGCATTTTCTCCACGGTAGAAGCCATCTTCTCCCGGCTCAGGCTGAAAGCATCTTTAGTTATAGACATGGCTTCCTTTGTGAGGTCCATGGTCACGTGCAGGGCTTCCTTAGTGGCATCCTTAGTCATATGCAGCGCGCTTGATAATTCTACCTCTAGGTTCTTCAAGGGGATGAGTTCTGCCTGCTCCTGGAGAAGGTCGTCTCCACTCTCTAATGGCAGTGCATCTGAGGATTGGCTGGAAGAAAGGGCAAGAGTGGTTTGAGGGTGGCTGCCGGGTTCGCTCAGTCTCTCTGTATCCAGGGCTTCTACAGCTTCATGTGCTTCCTCAACTGGGCCCCTCTCTGCCATGCTCTTGCTCTGTGGATCTGCTGGGTCAGCTGCTCCCAGAGCTCCATCACTCAAGGATCCAGGTAGTCTCTCTGGCAACACGGTCATGCTCACATCCGTGTTTTCAATCCCGCTGTCTTCCAGGACTTTTGAGGGGCTGCTCGATTCCTTCTTTGACCTGGCATCTGATTTAAGCTCCTTCTCTTCAGTAGCCAGCCCCTCCCTGCTGTCTGAGGGTGAGAGCTCAGATTCTATCAGGCTCGTTGTATCAGAGTCCATGGACCTGGGTTCCGAGCCAGAGCCTGGGATGGGATGCATCAGCAGGGCCATTTCAGCACCGTTGAACATGATGCCCATACATGCCGTCACGGGTTCTAACGAAGATCCAGTCAATTCCTGTGTATCTTGGGCCAATTGCACCTGCAGTGTCTGCAAAATCTCCTTCATCCTGAGCAGCACCAGGTATTGGTAGTGGTTGAGCCGCATTTTCACATGAGCGGTCGAGTACGCAAGCATGTGAATATCCGCAGAGGCTTCCATCTCTTGAGCATCCTCTCTGCCATCATCACAGTCACATTCTCCCAAGATGTCCTTTGCCTCCGGGACCTTATTAATGCTTTTCAGATCCTGCTCAGTCTTTGATCTTTGGCAGAGCCCAGGCTCTCTGGTATGGTCCTGGTATTTGGCATGATTACTAAAACTAGCAGAAGGCTTGATTTTCAACTCTGAGGCAGCAGAGGCCTGCAGCTTGGATACCTGAGCTTGCTCCCATCTCTTGGGAAGGCAAGCCCAAATGGACAGGGGGAAAGGGTCAATAAAGTTAAGGGCTCTGCCCTTTGAACTCTCAGCCCCCTCAAAGTCCAGGGAGATCTGGGTGAAGTAAACAGACCACAGGTCTTCAGAAGCGGAGGTCCTCCAAGTTGAATGGGCAAAGCCAGTGCATTTCTGGGCTCTGGCTTCCACCTGATATGCATGGCGTAAGAAGAGGGTGTGGAGGATGCTGAAGTTGTCCTGAGACTTTGGGAACTGGGTGTAGGTGGAGTGGAAGAACTCTGAATTGGCAAATCTGCGAAAGATGTTCTGGAGGGCTGAGCAGCTGCAGTGAGGGTCATAGCGTGAGTTGGTGGCAGTCATCTCCAAGGTGTGAATGGAGAGGGCCTTGGGACGGTCCCGGTGATCAGTTACTTTCTTCTCCACCGGGATACTAAGCTTCAGTGAGGGGGAATAAGTAAGAAGGGGAGAGATAAGCAGCCCATTCTATGAAAGTATATTGCACTCAGCACAGTGGTATCTGCGCTCTCTCTCTTAGCACATATTCTGAGAATGACATACATTCAGAACAACTGTTTTTTTAAAGTGTAATTTGTTCTGAAAGGTGAAAAGGTGCCGGCCCAATAGCACCAGTGACTGAAGTCCTTTATTTATTAACCACAGCTTGGGCACCAACAATGCAAGTTTATCCCATCCTGCTTCCACCCGTGTGCCCACATCTGGAAGGACCCACCTCTAGGGGAGAGAAGGGAATTTTGTCTCCAAGGCCCATTTGGGCCTAAGCCTGCTTTCCACGACTGCCAAGAACAAGGCTAGCCAGCGCCAAATGCAGTTGGATTTCAGTGCTGTGGACATTTGTCCACTGGGCACTGGTGTGAGACTCGCCAGCTCATTTTATATAGGCCAACAGCCATCAGACAGCAACAACTTTCAATTACTACTGCTTTAACCGTCTTCTAATTGGCAACCTAGAGGAGAAAGACACAATATACTACTACACCCTTTAGCCATCCATTCCTCCTCTGAAGCACCAACTTTCCTGCTTGCTCCAGGCTGGCTCTAAGCATGTGTTCTTCCATCCACAGATCACAAATCTAAATTAGCAGCAGTAGGGGCCAGTCTAGAAAGGTGGAGTTTTCATTCTCCTCTCATTCTGGGCTGCCATTGTACCTTGGTCTCTCACTTTTACCTTCAAGAAAGGGAGCAGGAAACCACTGCAGACTAGGGCAGGAAGGAAGTGAATGGTACCTTCAGCCTAAAGCCATCCAGTCGGACATCAACATGCTCATCCCGCTTTCCCGAGTCCTCCAGCTTGTAGATGGCTTTGAACTGCTCCAGGCTGCGATAGAGATCTAGGAAGAAGAGATTCACCCAGAGCACGCTCACTGCATCCAGAGTAAACATCAGGCCATTCAGCTGCAGGTACAGGTTTGGGCAGGGAACTGGAGAGGATGAGAAAGGGGCAATGAATGATGACTCAAAGAAGCTGAAGTGGTTTGAGCATGGCTAGCTAAAGCCTTTAGAGAAAGCATTCACCACAGGCCAAGAACATTAGGGTGGCAGGGGAAGAGACCACACACAAACTACACTGTAATACTGTCCACTGGTAAGGCTGCCTCATATTCAAGGATCTTCAAGTGCTTTATGGACATTAATTAAGATGCACAACACCCCTGTGAGATGGATCCCTATATCAAAGGGAGAAACTGAGGCGCAAAGGCAAAGTGACTCAGCCAAGTTCACACAGTGAGTGAGTGGTAGATCCAGGCAGAGAACTCAGATTATCCTGATTCCTGCACTAGTGCAAAGAAAAGAACCAGGAGCCCAAGACTTGAACAGATAGAAACTGGGGTATATTTTCAGTAAGCACGTTGGCAAATTATTGTCACACAAATTTAATCCTCCCTCCTAGGGGGAATTTACCCAGGATTCCAGAAGAGTGCAAAAAATCAATATATACAAAGAGAGAGGAACATCATGAGACTAAACAAGAACAGAGATGCAGAGAAACTGACTCCCTAAGTAGCTGTAAGGTGATTATGTATCAGGAGAGTTAAAGTTGGTTCCTTCGGAAGTTTACCAAGTGAGGCGCTAACCTTATTGCATTACCTGGAAATTCCTGATTGTCTGGGAAGTAATACTCTGTGAACTCAATATGAATTGCAGAGACCTGGTCTGGAAGGTTGAGGGATTTCCTGCTGCAGGAAAGCAAGGTGGAAGGTTTCTTACTCTGCTGACCAGCTGTGGAAACCTGAACAACAAAGACAAGTAGTTGCACTGGAGTCAGTTAGAAAAGTAACTGTTCATATAGCACCACCCTTTCCCACATTCATCCTCTCTCAAAGATTTATTCCTGAATCAAAGGGGCTCAGTTTACAAAATCAGAAAAATTGTCTTTCAAATGCTAGTCCCTCCAACTCAAACCGAGATCTGAAAATCCAGCTGGGAACTTTGAATTTTCATGCCTCCTGCATCACCACCGATACAAGACGGGGCAAGGAGACGTTAATGGACAATTGTGTGGATAGAGAACAGGTAGGTGGGTGAAGTAGTATTTTTTAGTGGACCAACTTCTGTTGGTTGAAGGGACAGAAGTTGGTCCAATAAAAGATATGGCCTCACCCACCATGTCTCGCTCAGATCCTGAGACCAACATGGCTACAATACTGCCAACAAATTCTATTAATGACATGAGGCAGAACAGAATCCATCTCACTCTCTCGAAACTCTGCAGGGTTTACAGGAGGGGTGTGTGTGTGTGTATATGTGTGTGAGTGTGTGTGAGAGAGAGAGAGAGACGGACAGTGTGTAAAGTTTTCTGAAGCATCTGGTATTGGTCACACTGTCAGAAACAGGATTCTGGACTAGATCGGTCTTGGGTCTGATCCAGCCTGGCAATTCCTATGTTGCTGTCAGTGAAGACACTTACCAAGAAACCCTCTCCCAGCCTCACTAATTTCTCAAATACATAAAACATCATTTGCTCAGAGCTGGGCTAGGGTTTGATCAAGGTGTGGAGGGAAAGCCTCCCCAGCTTTGTAGTGTGGGCTTCAACAGAAACTCAGCAGTTTTGGCTGCAATTTGCTTTGAGTTTTGGGGTTCTTTTGAGCCTGTGTTTAGTTCAGCAGATATGAGCAATATCTAACAGAGACCTGCCAGGATCCATGAATGCTGCAGCTACAGATTCTTGTTTGGCTCTGGTTGCACACTAGGGTTTTCGTGGTTTGTGGTTTAACATGGTATCAGATGGAATTGTTCCAAAACTAAGATTGTAATCTGAACGATGGATGAGAGCCTCCTCCTGACCTGATGAATGTCTAGGTCATCCACTCGGACTACCATGCAGCTGGATCGGAGACGGTTCCACGAGGGGTGCCGAAGCGGCGGTAAGCTTGCAGGAGGTGCCAGTGTTTGGAAGCAGCCTTTCTCTGGGGGGCTTTTGTGAGGACTGGACAAAATGTCTGGGGGGGAAAAAAGTTAAAAATCACATCAGCCACAATTTAATTCATCTCCTTAGAAACCAGTTGGAGCTGTTAAACATCACACCCACAAGAGGTCTTTAGGAGGCACATGTGTTTATTGGTTAGAAATAATGGTCCCAGAGTTGGATACAAATGGGCAAGACTATGTAATGAAAGCCTATGGCTTTATGAGAAAAGAATACAGTCAAAGATCTGTGTACCCTGTGGCAAAATCAACCTAAATTCTGCAGCAAAGACTCAAGGATTCTGTGTCACTCAGACAGCTTCACATACATTCAAACATAGAGGGGTTTCCTGGACTAGCTATGAAAATGAATACCACAATCTGTCCAGAAGTCCCATGTGTCACTCATTTGAATATTAAGTTCATTGTATTTTACTCTGTCCCTATATTTGCAATTTTTCATGTGCCACAGATTTTTGTACTGATAATTCATTGCTGCATTGTACAAGTTGCCAGGGGCCAGAGCTGGAGGTCTGCTGGGGCATGATTGACCCATCATCTGCTTTTAGAGGAAGTAGCCCCTGTGGTAGGGGTGACTATCTTTTGCCCAAATCACTAGTAAGTAAGTCTGTTAATCTCTTTCGTAAAGTGGATGCAACTGAAGGAAAACCCCCAAATTAATCCAACAGTGCTACCTGGTTGCTTTTTGAAGGGGGACCTTGGAGTCTTAGTGGATCCAGCATTCATTTCTTCACAGTGCTTCTCCATCTTGCTTTGAAATTCATTCACCAGCTTCTTTGCCCACTCTCCCCGAGTCTCCATGGTCTCACAGTACTTCACCCAATGCTTGCAGGAGTCTCCTGCAGAACAAACAAACAAGGTGGCTTTTGAGAGGAGGTTCTTGTGGCTTGGATCAGCACCTGACCCCTTAGCACCCTTACTCACACGTGCACCTTTTAAATGCTCTCCTCCAACTGGGACCACCACTGACATCTGGCCATGGAACCCTGCATGTGACTCCCTGTTAAACAATGCAGGCTTCCCCATAGCACAGCTGCCCATGCCTGCAAGGGTTCCAGATTGAAGAGTTTCTTTGCAGGTGCCATTTCTCCTCTGTAAGACTACCACCATTTCCACTGTGAGGGGTCCTGAGTTACACACAACTGCTGCTGGGTTCCTCCTAGGCCTCATCCCTTACACTGAAGCCCTTTCAAGCTGACCAGCCTCATATAGGAACCAGATCCACAGCTTAGGCAACGGGAAAGGTGGGGGGATTTAACCTTATGACTTTATGACAGAGAGCAAAGTGTTCCCTTTCTTGTAGCCTGGTTCCTTTTTCTCCTTAGGGGTAAGAGTGCCATTCAGCCATAAAGAAGTGAATTGGGTTAGCCCTGCAAAGAGAATTCAAGTCACAAGACCTCTCTGCACAACCTTCCTCAGTCTTACCTGCCTGCTTCAGCCCACAGTCTTGTAGCAACACGTTTCCTCATAATCTCTCTTTTTATCCCCTTCACGAATGAGGAAAGAACAAACTCCCCTTACCTGTCCAGTGGAAGGGATAATAGTCAAAAGCCATTCTCCTGAAGGTGAGCTGCATTGCACCTCCCATCACCCCATGCTTTGAGGAGCCTGTGGAAAGACAGAATAAAGAACATCTGCGTATCAGCTGGGCAAGCCAAGTCCTAACTGAGGGGAATTCAGAGCAACTTTGCATAACTCCCTGAGCCGCTACTGTACCAACATCTCACTTCGGTGTTAGGGGGCACTGTATTGCAAGCGGTACCGGTACCTTCTTTTACACGAAACGTAAAATCTTGCTCAGTAAAGGATTCCACCTCCCTTTTTACACCAGAAGATGTCAATCCTGGGGCCGCGGCTAAATTCTAATTAGAGTCATTGCTTTCTCTCTCTCTCTCTAAAATTCCCCCTGAGGTTTCAGTTGGCTATATAAAGTGGTGTTCTCCATGTGCTGTCCTGAATAGCTGGGAAAGAATTGATAAGCACTGCTGACTAGTTGCCACATTCCATTCCAGAGGTGACTGCATTTCTGTGATGCGTGAGTAATCCCTGTATATATATATGGTACAGTTTGCAAAGCACTTTGGGATTCCATGGTATGAAAGGGGCTATATAGAAGGATACCATTTTAAGGTAAGATGCAGCAGTGATTATACTTCCTTTTAGGTTTGGCAGCATCTCCCATGATCATCTAGGCCAGGAAACAGACAATGGAATGAAACTGACTAACCATTAGTGCCATCAAGAAAACTAGTGCACCGCACACAAAACTGCATAGCACCCCTGTGTCACTGGCAGTTACGGTTCTCACCACTGTAGCCAACAATATGGTAACAAAATAAAGAGGACAACGCAGCTTTGGGCTGCAAATGCTGAGGCTTTAAATCACAGGGTTTATTACCAGCCTGTTCTCTCTATATGGCTCTGATGAAAGTCCAGCTGGAATACTGTGTGTACTGCAGTTCCAGGCAATTCAGCAACAAGAAAAGGAGACAAATTGGAGCAAGGTCAGAGAAAAGCAACAATAATTATCAGAGGGCGTTGAATTATGAGGAAAGATTTATAGAAATAAATATCTAGAGCTTGGCTAAGGGACAACCAAGATTGCGGGGGACTGGAAGAGGGGCTTCTTCAACAGGGAGGGAGAGGAATCATGCAGTATGGCCCACTGGGATAAACTAGGAGGAATGGGATTAAAATCAGGAAAGGCCAATTTTAAACTGAATTATTGGGAAAGCACTCCTGGCAGAGAGATCTGCTAGACTGGGGAATGGTCTTGCAAGGAAAGTGGGGGAAGCCCCATTGCCTAGCCCATTTAAAACTAGGCTAGCTAAACTACCAGAAAATAAATGGTAAGGAACAATCCTATACTGACCAAGTGAAATGAGCTATTAGACCATCTAATCTACCTCTTTGTTTGGTGACAGATTGTTCCCTATTGCGTATTCTCTAGTGCTTTGTCCAAGCCAGTGAGAGGACTTCCTCTCCTTCCCCTAGGAAGCTACACCACATATGCAAGTCTCCTGGTACTTAGGACAGTGTCACCCCCACAAAGAGTGAGCTACTGACACCAGCCACACTGTGATATGCTAACATTGAACTCAGAAGTGCAGAATTAAATGCACGTGCACACATGAAAAAGAAGTACCCCCCATGATCTGGTTTATTTCTTTCTCCTCCAGTCTCTCCCTAGTGCTGCTCTTGGTTGGGTACCTGACTCCCGGGTGTGGCTGTCATCACAGATGTGCAGGTCCAGACGGGAGATGAATAGGTGGTAGGAGGACTCTTTCATGTCATACTTCTCAAAGTACTGGCTGATGCTGCTTGCATTCAGACTGCCTCCAAATGTCTGGGACCAGGACTGGTGGGCACTAGGAGCAGGTGGTGTGGTCTAGAATACACAGGAACATGTTCTTCAGGTACCAGTACATCATCAAAGGAAAATAGGGAAGCAGATTCTAGTGCACTGGAAACAGCTGATGTTTACACCCCACAGTGAAAGAGCCTGAATAGCGTTCCCCAAATAAAAGGTCTCTGACCAGTGGTTCTAACACAGCATGTATAAGGAAAGAACCAAACGTAACTGAATAACTAGAATTTATGATTATCAATTTGATCTTGAGCTTCCGTTTCTGCAGACATAGACTTTGCAAAGCTTAAAGCTGTTGCAGGTCCATCAATTGATTTATAATCAGTGGAGGCAGCAAGGTCCAGCGGACAGGGTACCAAACAGGGAGTCAAGATATCTGTGTTCTATTCTAAGCTCTGCTGTGTGACCTTGGGAATGCTCCATGCCTCAGTTTCCTAATCTCTAAAATGGGACTAATGATGCTCACTTATCTTTGGAAAATGCTTTCCAATCTATGGATGAAAAGGGCAATATTAGCATTATTATTTAAAGTCCTCTTGGCCTTATCTCACAGCACTGTTTGCAAAAACCTTCTCTTCTGCAGTTCCTGCTATCTGGAGAAACATCCCTTTTCTCACCTCATGCTCTCTGGCTCTTTGCAAATCTCTGCTGGAAACGTCTTTCATCCTTTGCCTTGTACCCTTTAATTTCACTTTCCCTCTACAGCAGTTATTTAAACATCTCTCTGTTATTTAACTTTGCTGAGTATTTTGAAAACTTCTTTTTAAAAAAACATTTGCAAAGGTGGGGGGGGGGTTCAACGGCTAACAATGGAAGGAGGGTAGGAGAAACAGCTGGTTAGAGGTTAAGAAATACAATGAGCTGTGTGTGCTGCAAACGAACAATACAAACATCTCAGAGCACTGCGAGCCCCCTCGCAGGATACTGAGAGAAAAAATGATGATCCTGAAATGGGCTGATCTGTGTTCTCCCCTGAGCACCCCGAATCATGACAATTTTTACAAGGTTGGAGTGCCCCTCATGTAGATTTTTATTTTGAGAAAGGAACTTGGAGACGGGAACTTCCTAGCAGAGGCCGAAGAGATTATTTCCAGGATATATTCATTATCTGTTATTACCAAAACAAAATCTATGGGCCCCCTGACACCTTGTGATAGTCCTGCCTCGAGCAGGGGCTCTCAAATTGTGGGTTGGGACCCAAAAGTGGGTCATGACCCCTTTTTAATGGGGTCGCCAGGGCTGCTTAGACTTGCTGAGGCCTAGAACCAAAGTTCAAGCCCCACTGCCCAGAGCCAAAGCCCGAGTCCCAACACCAATGGTCGGGGCTAAAGCTCTGGGAGGCTGGGTTCAGGCTTCGGCTTTAGCCCTGGGCGGCCGGGCTCAGGTTACAGGCCCCCTGCCTGGGGCTGAAGCCCTTGGGCTTGGCCCCCGCCCCCCCTGCGGTGGCAGGCTCAGGCTTCAGTCCCGCCACTCCTGGTGTTGTGTAGTAATTTTAGTTGGTGGAAGGGGGTCACGGTACAATGAAGTTTGAGAACCGCTGGCCTAGAGGATCACAGAATTTTCCATCTCTTTTTCCCCCAGACCGATTCTAGCCCATGACCATTTGAAAATGTTCACTGATCATTTTTGGTGGTGGGTGCAATGCCTGTAAGTCATGTTTTTATCCCAGTGGTGACTCCATACCCATGTGTGCCCAAGCTTGCACCAGCTGAGCTTTTAGGACTTCTCCCAATGCTCACACCCATAAGGGGTGCTGACAGGACTTTTGGGAAGCTGCACAGATTACAGCTTTCCTACCTCTTCCCGTCATCAGAGAGACCACTCGGCAGCAGGCACCCATCTGTATGTGTATATGGAGAATCCATGCTGCCTTTTCCATGTCTCTTCCTTTTTCCCAGGACGCTCATGCTTAGGTGATAGCTGCTTACCAGGACAGGTTCTGGTGCCATACTCTTCCTCTGCTGGGAAGATTTCTCCATGGCTTCACTCAAGGACTCTGCATACTTCATCATGGCTTTCAGCTGAGAGTCTGTCAGCACCCAGAGCAAGTCGTCAAGGAGGAACATCAGCTTAGATGCCACCACGTTGCAATCTTTGGTCTGAGCCAACCAAAGAGAGAGAGAGCAGCAAGATTAACATAACAATTTTAACCATACACATTTATTCCTCTGGGGACTTGTGGATTGTAGCAGCTGCAAAATATGTCACTTTAGAAATCATATGAGATAAAATAGGGTAGAGGGAGGCCATTCATCTGACTGAGAGGTGTCCAGGGTACCCCAATATTATTCAGTGGGATCTGTTGTCTCAGCTGAGCACCAAGCTAGTCAAATCTGTCTCCACCTAAGGAGGCATGTGCCCAACTGCACTGAAGGAAGAGTGGAGATGCAGGAGGTTTATTCTTTCTAATCGACACTTCATCACCTCTCTCCTTCTCCTGTTTATAGTACAACTAAGTCTGGCAGTGATGTAAGCACTCAATAAAAGAGGACACAGCACACTTTTACATGACTGTGACAGAGGATTATTCACGCACTTGCCCTGCTGCATGCATTCCTGAACTAAGAAATGAGCTGTTCTGAGTACACAAGATAAGAGCTCAGCGTGTACCTCACTGAAACCACAGAGCAATACAGCATCTAGGGCTCTGCTTTTGTGGAGAAAAAGCACAAGCACTGAGAAGGGAGGGCATAGGTACCATCACCAGACACAGGAATAACTATCCCTCTCTGTGCCTCTTCTCATTTTTGAGATTCAATTGAGTACGGACATTATTCCTGATCGGGGAGATGCAATCAGGACTTTACCAGGCAAATCACTCCTGCTATCAGTGGAGATACTCACTCTTCTCTTGAGAGAAATTTGGATCCTGCCTTGATTGGTAATGAGTCTCAAAGGAGTGGTAGTGGGATCCTGATCACCATTGTCAGTGGCATCTGCCTCTATCCGAAGTGTCTGCCAAGTGAGCTCTTTAAATGTCAAAACCTACCCAGAGAGAAAGAGAGACCAGGAGACAAACAGGAAAATGCTGAGGATTTCACCAACTTCAAGACTTTAACGATAGAAACGTTTCACGGTAATAGTGCATAGGCAAGAAAAGAAACGGATATAGAAGTGAGGAAGGAAGAGACACCATCTTTCTTCTGGAATCGCAGTAATAAATGGAGGAGCTGCCCTGGGATCATATAATCCTCCCTCTACAGTGCAATCACAGCAGAGACTAGTTAAAATGTATTGATTGCAAGGGAGCTCACAGCTTCTCCAGTTTTTCATTCTCCCACTAAGGAGATGCTATGAAGAAGTGTGATGGGGACCACTGGCTATGGAAGAGTTCAGAGTGACTCCAGTTCCCAATGGATACTTTAGACTGTGGTATAGAGGTCACTGAGGTTCCTTAGAGCCATCCATACTGAGACCAAGACGTGAGAATTCAGAGAAAATGAACCAAGGCCCCAAATCTGCCAGACCCTTCAGGGACCATGGAAGAGACCTAAATGTGACACCCCCGTATGCTGCATCTGCCAATGCAGAGAGGGTCTTACCTCTCCTCTCTGAGTGTCAGTGATGCGGGTGAAACGTAGGTCACTCTGCTGCCAGTTGGGATTCACACTGTATCCCTGGAGCTGCCACAGTTCAAAAGAGGCATGGAAGGCCTTGGAGTGAATCTTGATAGTGATGGAATTGACAACAATGAACATTCCCTCCACAACCTTTTCGGCAAAGCCATACTCGCTGTAAAGAGAAGAACCCTCAAAATCATGATTCTATAAAAAGGAGCCCCCGTTCAGGCTGACCCAGTGATAACAAATGACTGTCACAAAGGAGACCTAAGGTTCAGAAGCAGCCTGGCTCCATGGAGATGGACTACCTCCAGGAGAAGTGCACGGAAGATGGAAATACCATCACCTGTGCTAATAAGGCACCCCCTATTTGATAGATTAGCCTCAGCCATGGTTACAACTGAGTGTTCAAAGCCATCGCCATGGTAGGCAGGAACAGAGGAAGAAGAGTAAATGATGGAGCAAGGGGTGGGCAAGAGGGTGTAGTGCACATGGAAGCTGAAGTTGAACTCCTGGAGTCAGCCTCTCACTCCCAAGGCCAGAGACAGAAATACTCCTGTCCCACACAACACTCCGGCAAGCACTGCCAGCTGATTCAGAAGAGACACAACTGTTAACATAGCCACGAAGGTGCATACAGCACAGTACAATGGGCAGAATGGGTTAAACCTGTTAGAGCTTCTGGGTGGGTTTGAAGTGTCATAGCTCTGTCAATGGACTTCCCAAAAAGATGACATGTCAGCCACCCAGCCAGGCACAATACAGTGCAGAGTGAACATGGGGAATGCTTTGTGAGACAGCAGAGTCTTTGGAAGGTTTCTGTGAGAGAACGTTACTTGTTTCTAGCCTGGAGGGGCAACATGAAAGCAGGAGCTGAGTTAGGACGGGGATAAAGGAGTGGTCAGGAGAGAAGCTTGGGTGGGGTGTTGGGAAATGTGATGGAGCACAGCCAGAGGAGAAGAACACAGGTGCAGGCCAGGCAGAATTTTCAGTGAAGCTTTGGAAGCAAGGAGAAGATTTAGGTCTCTGCCAAAGATGAGGGAAATCAATGCAGATGTTCAGGAAGTGGGAAAGAGAGACTTTGCCAGAGGAGCAGGAAAGGATGGGGAGGTGGGCTGCAATGAAGGAATCCTATCCACTGCTTCCTAAGGGGAGGATGGAAGCTGCAATGCAAAGGCTCTGGGGAACATGGCTTAAAGGAGCTGGGCATTCTTAAGGATCTAGTCTAGGTCAACCCTGGCCAGCTGTACAGACTTCTGCCAAACCCTGTCCCCATCTCACAGTTGAAAAGGCTGGGAGAAAACAATTCCCCTTTTTTATTGCAAGGCTCCTTCACTATTCAGAATGGACAATCAGGAGTGCCTGCCCAACACAGATAATACAGTGTCAAAAACTAACTGTAGAGTTAGGAGGTGCCAACCTTTGACCTGCAGCAAGAGCAATGGGAGACTGTCCATTGGGTGGCCGAGGCTCTTCACAGGTTCGCATCTCCACCTCCACCTTATCCAGGTACTGCAAACACAGGAAACAAGAAGTAAGCATGACATTAAGACTCGGGATGAGCATTATGGTCCTAGATTTGAAATACATAGGGGGTCACTGGAACTGCTGGGTCAAATACCAACAAGGTGGACTCCACCTTCCACCATTCTCAGGGAATTCACTGTGTGTGAGTGGGTATTTCAAATGAGACCTTAAAAACCAAGGTCCCATCTGCTCTGCATGGACACTGAAAATCTCACAGGGCGCTTTTCATAAAAGTAAGGGGGTTGGCTGAGCATCCTTGACTAAAGTATCTATCCTTCTCCCCATTTCAACTCTGCACCTGGCAGGTGCCCTCCACTCTCATGCAGCACTGCGGCTGATTCCTGTCGTACCCCTGCCTGCAGCCCCTGTGCAATCTGCTCACAGCTGTCCACGTTTCTACAGCTGGTCTGTAGCTGTGTTTGTGCAGCCTCTTCTTCCCACAGGCCCCAGAGACCCAATACTTCCTGTCTACTCCAGGCAGGAGCACGTCTAGTGTGTGGAGCTTGGCACAGGCAGTTGGGTAGTTGCACACAATGAGGGTGAACTGCTAGGTGTGCTCATCAAGTTGGGAGATCAGAAAAAATCATTTAAAAAAGCCATGGGGGGGATTTGAAGGTGGGGTGTGGCTTCCGGTCTCTGAGCGTGGAGTTTAAAGTTGTGGCCAGAGCAGTCACTGTTACAGAGAATGGAGCATTGTGGGACAGCTGCTGGAGGACTGTTAGGGTTGATACAAGTCATACAATATCTATGCTCACACTACATTAACCTCAGTAGGTGAACCATGGTTCTATGCCATTCGGGGAGGTGGTTTTACTGTGTGACTAACAGGTGCTTATATAAGTGGGAGACAAATTTGAACATAGACACATGTACAAATAGGTCGACACAAATCGACCTAACTTTGTAGTACAGACCAGGTCTCAGAGGTTGCTGCATTTCAGTGCTAATGTACACACAGTCTCCAAAGTACTTTGAGATCCACTGAGAAAAATCTATCACTGGTTTCACATCTACTTGTAGAGAACACTTTTATTATATACTTCAGAGCAAGTTTAGCATCCTGGGGCCAGTGGAAATGTCATCTGGGCAATTCTTACCAGATCCCAGGAACTTGTACTCTTCCCTAGGGCCACCCAACAGTTGACCATAGGACAGCACAGAAACATCAGAAAAGGCCTTAGGGTACTTCTAAACTGCAAAAAAAACCCAACAATCGTAAACCCCATGGCAGCCAGTCTCAGAGCCTGGGTCAACTGAGTCAGGCGCATGGGGCTCATGCTATGGCATTAAAAATACCCCTGTAGACATTCCCTCCCTGGAGCTGGCTACGAAATCCAATGAAGGGAGTAGGTCTCAGAGTGTGGGCTCCAGCCCCCCTCACCAGGTTTCAAATCCAGGGTCCAGTCCAAGCAGAAACGTCTATACACTGCTATTTTTAGCCCTGGAGCACAAGCCCAAGTTAATTGACCCGGGCTCTGAGACTCGCTGCTGTGGGGATTTTCTTGCAGTGTAGACATACCCTTAGAGACAAAGACACTTCTATGAGACCTGGGTGGTAAAAAAAAATTCACATCTCACGTGACCTTAGAGAAGCCTCTGTGCAATGGGCTGGATTTGATCAGCAGCTGAGATGATGCATGCATCCGACGAAGTATTCACCCACAAAAGCTTATGCTCCAATACGTCTGTTAGTCTATAAGGTGCCACAGGACTCTGCCGCTTTTACAGATCCAGACTAACACGGCTACTCCTCTGATACTTGACAGCTGAGATGTTATGTCACAAAAGCTTCAACACCTCTAGCTGTAAGAACCAATTGTCCCTTTGCAGGAACAATCCCTTAGCTAAGATTTATTACAAAGAAGGAAGAAGACTAAAACAAAATATTACCAGACAAATCGGGTGCGTCTTCAGTTTCGTCCACTGGATCTGTAAAGACAGAGCTCAAGTTGCAGAAGGTTCCTCAATATGCCCAGGTTTGAACGATTTCAGGGACACCCAGTCAAGCCCCCCAGAGATCAACTCACTTAAAGTCCTGCTGTACTTTGAGAGTTGATCACATAAAAATAGCACTGACAATACAGGTTCACTGCGTCTCACTGACTCCAGATCAAATGGGCTACCACAAACAACTGAAAAGATGTTCAAACAACCTGCTGTGTAAGCCCAGTTTGGCTTTTGTATTTCAGGCTGAGTCTTTTCCTTCTCATGCATCATCACCAGTGATATATGCTCTGCAGCCCAAATTCAGATTTCACTTTTGCATGAGCAACTCTGTTGTCTTTAATCGCTTTACAATCAATTAATTCAGGCTGTAACTGGAATTTAGTTTACAGTTCTGTAGATTATGCTCAAACCTGAATACAATCCATTTTACCCCCACTGACCTGTGTTTGCTCTGCAGTTCTAGGAGCAGCAAGAACTAATACTTGTTACTAAACTGAGCAGATCCAACTCTGAATACATACAGGAAGCAGCTGAGATGAGTAAAAGGAGGCCATTTTTACAGTCATTTGGCAGAGCAGAACCAGACTTTAACAGAAAGTCTTTTCCACATGCTAAACGCTTTTGCCTTAATTTAGTGTAACTGTGTCTAACATCAGCTGAGGTTAAACAAACAACTTCTCATTTAATGTCAACTGAAAAAAATCCATTTCCTGACCCAAAAAGCACTTGGAACAAGATTTTCAAGATGAAGAGGCCCATTCTCTGTGCACAAGTGCAGCTGTGACTGCATGTGCAACTACTGCGATTATACTAGCAAGCCAGATAATTGTGGGTGCAGAGGCTGGTAAGATGCCTAGCAAATCATTTTTCACATGCTTTTACCCAATTTGCACATTATTTCTGAAGTCTCCATTGCTTAAAATGTGACCTTTAAATAACCGTTACTGCACGGAAACTCATGGCACAAGGAGGTTTTCAAAAAATTTCAATCAGCATTTATTTACACTTTACATTCCTGTTTCAGCCCAGTTTGGAGGTTTGTGTGAACAGCCAGGGCAACCTGGGATGGCTGTTTCACTCTTTCAGCATTAAAGAATAAGTCAGGGGCAGAAGGGAGAGGGGCAGGATATGCCTCCGCTACCACAAGTTCATTTCCAGTTGAGAAAGCTGATATCCTTTATCAAAAGCCCCAGATAACATCAAATGCAGACTGACATCAAGTGGGCTGCATTGTGTTTAGAGGACACCATTAGTGCGGCATCTCAACTCACCCGGATGGAAGCCTTGTTACAGTAGACACGGGTGATAGCTAGCCAGGTGGGCAGCTCCAACACATTCTGCAGCACCTCTTCATCCAGTTCCAAGTTGGTCAGCTGCCCCTGACCTTTCAGTGTGCTCAGGTTAATTTTGTCTGGAGAGAGATTCTTAGTAAACCTGTGGAAAAGAGGAGTTAAGAGGCAATATGACAACAACTTCCAATGTGCCTGTGTCTATGGAGAGGAGGGTTATTTTGATGGTAAACACCTCCCTGTTGTTTGCAAAGCACCTCATACGCTCAGGGGACTATAGAGAGAGAAAGAGATAGAATAATAGGGACACCATACCACCACACAGTGGGCAAACCATTGCATTTCTATAGTGCATTGTGTGAGCTGCCCTGCCAGTTTTGCAGCATCCAGTTAGGCCCCAAACCAACTCCCACGGACTTCAATGGCAACTGGGTCAGTTCCCTAAAGAGTCATAAGTGCATTCGTCACCTAAGTACTATGGAAATTGGCCCACTATAAATACCTCAGAGAGAGAGAGAGAGAGAGCAGTAGTTTTGGTCCAATATTTCCTTTTCTTTTTTTATAATAAAGCGTAAGATCAGACATCCCGCCCCACAGAAAAATCTTCATTGAGCTCGAACTGAGGTTGCAAGAACATAGCCAAAACTAAAGGGGAAAAAAAATACAGTTTAAAATATAGGTGGGAAGGCAAGGTTGTTAGGTGTCACTTGGAATTTCTTGCCTTTCAGATGTTTCGATTACATAGAAGAGGGCAGAGTTAAAGCCACCCCAGAAAGCGTCTTCACCCTAGGCATCCTCCAAAGAAACTATGACAAGTATTCTAGTATCATAGCTAGCTGACAGTTAAACCCTGGGTACCATGGCAGCTCAACAAAGAAGCTTGGTGGGTGTCTTTAAGGCCCATATAGTTTGGCATTTTAAATGTTTTAAATCAAATCAGGAGAGACAGCACTGGAAACCCAGAAATTAACGTAATTGCATTAGGGCACAAAGAGAAAATGAAACTGACTAGAAACAAATGCAACTGGACAATAGTTTCACTCCCCAAGGTAAGTGGCATGCAAAAAAATATTAAGAAACTTATAGCATCAATGGTGGAGAGAGATTAGATCAGTTTTACTGATCACTCATATTACTGTCACAGGGAAGTAAAGGATTTTAAATAAATTATTTTATCAGTCTCTTTAAATACTAGTCTCACAGCCGAACCCATTCCTGTCCCTCATTAGTGAAGCTGATTCATGCTCACCAGTGTCCCAAGCTAAGAAACAGGGATATACATGGTCAGTGAAACATCAGTGTGACTGCCCATAACATAACCCTTCACCCTGCTTTTCACAATCAACTCAGCCATGCCCTGCTTTTCTTCTGTCTACCATCTGCTGCTGATCTCTCCTGTCAAAATTTCCCCTTCAAAAAGGGTTTGCTTTTTCCAGGTCTGCTGTATGCACCCTGGTGTCTTCAAATTCCAGATACGCCACACATTTGATGGATGAGAACAATTTGATTAAGGGCACAAAAGAGAGGTGCAAAGGATTCTGGGGCAAATCTGAAAACATCCAGCTGAACTGGAAATACCAAGGATCCTTTTGGAAGAGTACTCAGGTCAGTTAGGGCAAGCAAAGATGAGGGCAATCTCGGAGGAAGGTAATGGTGAGCTGCAAAGAACCCTGCATCAGCAGAATGAGCACAAAATTACAGCAGCATGCAGGATTCTGCTTCTTCCCAATTGGGATGGTGCAGCCAAAAACTGGGATACTTGGCAGGTCCATCTCAGTGCCTAAACAGGGAAGAAAACAAAAAGCAGCCATGCTGGATTAAGCTGTGTTAGAAATCTTGGAACAGTTCTTCCTCATGAATGAAATACACCTTTCCCATCACCCGGTTGAAGGGTTCAGAAAAGCTTCGTTCCCCACAGCAGTGATTTGCCAGGCACTTGCGCTTGGAAGAATCTGCTTTCTCTGACCCACCAGGAGTAGTTCAGGGATGCGGGGGATTCAGAAGTTTAATAACAGAAATGGAAATTTACATAAATTCCTGGGTTAGAGAGAGAATTTAGGTTACTCTGCTCCTTCACAAGGTTGCAAGATTTCTCATTCAGATTGTAAGATTGTGAATAAGGTCAATCGAGAGGAGCTTAAAGTTTCCCATGCCTTTGGTCCAGCCAGTCCCCAAATCCCATCTACACTGCAATAACCACAGTAGTATATTGAAAGGCATGGCTGTCCCTTAACACAAATAAAACATGGTTCAATCTCAGTGTAGATGAGACTGAACCATGTTTTAATTGTGTTACTGAGTCATGGGTCAGCCCCACGAAGTCCAAAGCTGTGGTGTGTTTTAGGAACATGGTACAATCCCATCTATGACAAAAGAGAAAAGTTAGGATTTGACCATGTTGTAACCAGGTCCTTCATTATGCAGCCAGCCAGCCCTGTTTGGAGGCAGAGCCTGTATAAGAAGAGGTGTTTGGCCCTGGCAGAGGGGATTATCAGACCCAGCTGGGGAAGGGTTAGGCAGTTCCTATGAAGGACTGAAAGAGCTCAGTTGAAGAGAAGGCTGGAGGAAGAAGGGCAGCTCTAGTGGCAAGGGGAGAGATGTAAGGAGAAAGGCTGCTGGGCCCCTACAGCCTGTGTTGGTCAAGGGAATAGCTTGGTTTTGTGTTAACTTACGAGTTTTGGGTTTGAAAAATAAACTGCTCTGAAAGAAGAGCTAGAACTAGACTCTGGGCACGATGTCAATCCTTCCTGGGCTTGGGAGACAGGCCAGCAACCTACTATAGACTGGACTGACGACCAGAGAAGTTGTATTTGCCTTGCCAGTATCTCACTGCAATGTTTGACTACATGGTTTCCCTCTCTGCACTAGGGAAGCCAGTGAAGGCTGCAGCTTGCATAGCACCACAATGCCATGGGATTCAGAAAGGATGGAGTGTTTCTGCCAGATTTACTCCCTGTTTAAGCCAGAGCCATTTTACACATTCCTCCATGCTAATTCTAATTCTTCACAGCGGCGCAAGTGGTGGAAAAGAAAGGCCCCATTGTCAGCCAGAGTAGGATTAGATTCACTCGTTAGTCACACGCTGCAGTTCTCTCACTCCCCTTTCCCTGCACTGGCCTGGCTGCATGTGCTGCCCCATTGTGCAAGGCACAAAGACAGTCCTGAGAAACTGGGCCAGCATCTTGGGGATAGTGAAGGTGGGGGGCGGGGGCAGGCAGGGGGAGGAAGGGGCTATTGTGCTGGTTTCATCAATCTCACTACAGGAGTGTGAGTTGAACTTGGAAACTGGCTGGGATTAGTTGCTTATCAGCCAATCTAGAATTTCCTCCAGAACAACGTATTTATCCAAGTGAACATTGTGCCAGGGCAGAATCTGAAGCGAGGAGAGAAGCAGTTATGCATTTCACTGCAGCCAAAAACTCTCCTCCTCGTAGGAGAAGCTGGGACGTGAACAGCTGTGAGCTTGCCTGCTGCTTGTATTTCCACACCATTCTCTGCAGTAATGATTTCTGCTGGGGAGGATTGCAGTATGAGACCTCTACAGACTTTAACCTGCCGTGGAAGTTCTCTCCTTTCCAGGCCTAATAAGCTAGTATATCAAATGGTTTGTCTCCCGTCACATGACAGCATCACACACCTGTCACTATCTAAGGCTCACACAGAGAGAGAGGTGACTCCTTTTCTTTTTACAGAGCGAGAGAGGCCATCCTGTTTACTTTGGACAAATATTTCCTCATTAAACCAGAGGAAACCCTTATATAAACACACATGAGAAGTTTCAGAGGGGTAGCCATGTTAGTCTGTATCAGCAAAAAACACTGAGGAGTCCTTGTGGAACCTTGGAGACTGAAAAATTTATTTGGGCATAAGCTTTCGTGGGCTATGAGAAGGGCACATGAGAAAGCAGCCAAGATCAACACAGTTCTCAATTACTATATGGCAAAATCTGGTGTGTGTAAGATTACATATTCCAGCGTGTGTGACATTCTACAGGTGACAGGTTCATTGTAGGAGCATAAACAATGATCTCACAAATCTGTTAACGAAGAGAACTAAAGATCTCAAAGCATAATGCCTATCATCTGGTTCATCACTGGGGACTGAGCCTGGGATCTCCAGAGACAAAGCATGAGCCTCTATGGCAGTGGTTCTCAAACTTTTGTACTGGTGACCCCTTTCACATAGCAAGCCTCTGAGTGCGACCCCTCTTATAAATTAAAAACACTTTAAAATATATTTAACACCATTATAAATTCTGGAGGAAAAGCAGGGTTTGGGGTGGAGGCTGACAGCTCACGAACCCCCATGTAATAACCTCGTGACCCCCTGAGGGGTCCTGACCCCCAGTTTGAGAACCCCTGCTCCATGGCTTGAGCTAACAGATCAAGTCCTCTAACTGAGAGCCGCTGCAGTGTCATATCCTCCGTGGACTGGGCAGAGAGAACAATGTATAGTACGTGCTGACCAGTAGGATGCCAAAAGCACTTTGCAGACATTAACTTGACATTGTAAGGCTAAGACAAATAGCCTCATTTTATAGATGGGGATGCTGAGGCTCAGGGAGATGCAAGGAACAGAAAACCCAGCTCTCCCGACTTCTAGTCCTTAGCATACTTCCTCTGTTGAGACATGCTGCTCTCAACCAGTACATTAATGCAGCAGTGTTGGTTGTATCAGAATATTGTAGAGACAGAACACATTTATCGGACAATCATCAGCATCTCAGCCAGAGGCAGAGCTGAAGTCTTCAAACTGACACACTGATGTAGAGAAATATTAAATAAAGCCAGATGAATACAAAGCAGGTTTTTAAAACAAGTGTAGGGGCCACAAGGAGTCCTGCTGAACTGATATGAAGATGACCAGAGCCAATGCTGCAAGATTCTACGGAACAGCCCTGTTAGCAGCCAAAATGAATATGAAACTTTAATTTACAGTGCCCGTGGAAGGGGGCTTGGGGAAGACTTATGAACAAGGGAGAAACATAAACAGTTACATGAACAGAGAATAGGTCAGTATGTCTTTAGCCAAACCTCATACTGCCAAGTAAAGAGGGTGGAGTTTTGAAGCAGATCTAAGGCACCCTCAGCCCACTGGGTACGTCTAACATGGCAAGCAGAAACCCATGGCACCGAGACCGGGACA